CAGCGAAATTGGTCTAATTGTCTGTCATGTTTCTGAGTGAGAAAGCATGTGTGCATGTTCATCCCTGCGCCTTAAGCTCTATTTGTATGTTCACAGCACACGCCGCTGTGTGTGTGATGTTGTCAAGAAGCTGGTGTTTGTCAAGAGGCTTGTGTTTTCAGAGCACGGCGTAAAGTCAAGGAGAGGGGCTGTCAGAATGGCTGATCTGTGCAGCTGGCAGAGACGCCCACCCATGTCAAATGTCACAGCACTAATTCCTTTCCAATGTAGCCCAGGTATGACCGCAGGGGCGAGAGACAGACACACCTCATGGCTCCACAGAATGAGATCCCCAGGAGGCTGTGCAATTCACAAATCTACGGGCTTTGTTTTAATGAGATGCATATTGTCCTGTCATTGTTTTGTGCTCAGCTGTGTGCTCACTTTAGGAATTTTGGGCAGGACATGTGCGATGCAACAATTTCCATTTCTCTGAGAAATATGGATTGTACCTCTGTTAACATCTTGAAGTGCAGCGCCATTTCAACTTGGTTTGTGTAACTGCTGAACATGATATGTATGTTGCTTCTGGTCACTGGAGTGTGATACTTTGCATACTTGATGTGTGAAATATGTGAAGCAATACTTCATGGGCCTATACATGTGTGCTAATTCTATAAATCGCATAATATACTGCATTTTGATTAGTGTGTGTGTGTTAAACTAAACAAACGTTGCTTAGTCCATAGATCTGCTGGGAGGATGTTTTACAAATAACATTAATGGTTTTAATGCGTTATTGAATGCATTTGTGCTTTTGTTTGTTTTTGCCCAAGGGGGATAATACCCTGCCTCTCAACCCAGTGTCAACAAACCTCCGCCGTAAGACTGTTCACACATGACCCAATGAAATGCATTTTGCCTCAGGAAATTGAGAAATATTCCGTCTTCCAATTACCAGCTATGTTGCCATGGCTTTCTGCCTATTTGTAAATCATTTGTTATTAATGCTTTCATACACACATTATTTCATATGTAAACTAGATGGAAGCCTCGGCATATTATACATAAAATACATATACAATTCGACTTATAAGTGAAATCGTAAAGTAAATGCCAAGCACGCTGTGTATTTGTATAGGGCAGTATACATTGAAATGAGTGCAGTATTTTTTTCCTGGCACATCCTTTCCAATCTCTCACAAAGTGATGCTAATCAAGTTCAATTGAACCTTACTGCCCTCCCGTCCCTCTAAACTTTCTAAGCATTTATTCATGCACTCGCCATTTCCTCATTCCTTTGCGCTCTTCCTCCTAAATTACTGGGAGGTGATATACAGTCTGGGTGTCCCAAGGCTGCAGGAGATTTAGAACTTTGTCCCATGTGAAGGAGAGGTGAGAAAAGACATTACTATGCAGAATAGGTAATAGTGAAAAACGCCGGAGCTCTTTAAGGTGCCCCATGCAGATTATCAATCTATTTGTGTAACTTGGCTTCCCAGAATTTCATTTCCCTTTTCATTTATGTGCCTTGCTGCAACCGTTTACACTGCCGAAACTGAAAATTGAAGCCATGACGAGCAAGGGAGCAATATTCCAAGGGCAAAATAGGCCTCTTCTGCTGTATGATTGCAAAGGTTCATTTGGAGGGGGGGGGAGGAATGCACTGACCTCTTTTTGATGAGCTCAGAGGAATATTTAGAGAAATACAGGGAGTCCACATTATGGCCATCCACACCTTGTCCTTGCTGTTTTTGAGCCTGAAGCCTTTCTAAGTGTTTTGAGAATTAACTGGGCGTCTTGCCTTATAAAGAGCAACACTTGTCAGTATTGCCCTATATTAAATCCAGCACGGTGGACAGAGGCGTGCATTTCACAGCTTTTTCCTGTATGTTTCAGCACTATGGACAGAGGCTTACACGTATGGTTGCTCTGAATGTATTCAGCACAATGGACAGAGGCAGAGCCATCTTGATGTATCTCATCAAGGAGCTTTGCAAACTAGATCAGTCTCTATGTGACCATGTAACAGCATCAATCTGTGAGCAAATACAAATGAAAACGGTTTGATATACTGGAACTATGAATTGCTCTCAGCACGTCTATACATTGGGCGCAAATGTTCTGAGGAGCTCCACAGTCATATTTGAGTATACCCAATCGGATTAAAATAAGTACCATTTTGGGAACGAAAAGACACTCTGTTACACGTCTTGCTCGTTAATTGCGTGTTATTATTATCAGTCCGGTGGGCTCGGTCCCTGAAGCCATTTCACTGCGGGCGACACTGAAAACATTTCATAGTGGCTCACAGGAAGGTTGTGTGACGAAACAGACCATGGGGGAACCAACGTGGAGCCATACCTTATATAATCATCACGGCAGTACCCACTGAACATAATTACAATGATTTGTGCCCTCCCATTTCACCCTTGTATTAAAAAATATTGCCGGAGGTAAGTCAGGCGTGAGCACAGGCAAGGCTGCTGTGGTGAATGGAGTGTGGCCCCGAGGGAAAGCTTGAAGAGCAGAGCACGTTGTCATGCCAAAGAAAAGCCAGCCCCCCCCCACCCTCCCCCTCTCCTCCACTCCCACCCCGCTGGGGCCCGGTCATGCCGTGAGAACGGGATGACATTACCGGGCCATTTAGCTGGCGGAAGAGCAAAAAGAGGTGAGAGTGTGTCGCTTTTGTTATTTAATGGTTGGCTAATGTCTCGGTAGAGTGGGGGGGGGGGGGGGGGGGGGGGGGGGGGGTATGCCTCATAGCCAAAAATGAAAACAAATAGGTCAACATTATGAGCCTTGGAAGTGGTAGCTATACAATGAGGCCTTTAGGCTGCATGGTTTGACTGAAGACACTGAAGCATGACTGGAGTGCACAACTAGTTCATTTTGCCGATCATTGGAGAATGGTTCATTACCTGTGGCCTGTAGAGCTCACACTTTGGTCTAATGTCAAAACAACATATTGTCACTGTTGGAAAAAGTACTCAGAACTCAGAAACATTTCACAAATGAAGGTAGTGGAGCAAAACGTACAACAATCGTCTCTAATATGGAGTGAAGTGGAAGCTTGAATCAGCAAAAAATGGAAATACTCAAGTACAAGTATCGCAATACCTACTTAAATTCTCGGGTAAGTGTCATTCATTTCACCACTGCAAATAATCTTAAATAGGCAACCACTTTTAGCTAGAGCTAAATACGAGGCATGGTGATAAACATGATGATATGTATGTGTGAAATGCAGGCTCTCTGTTCTTTAAACTGGAGATCAACATGTGTTGGGGTTTTTATATATGTGAAGATGAACTTGCTTGTCTTTCTGTGAGACAAGGTGTCACATACTTAAATGCAAGGATTGTGTTATATGTTTTCCAGAGACAGTTCTCCACTGTCACCGAATCGTTTTACTTTGATGACAGTTTAAATGTCTTCTGTCAGACTGGATTTCAAAAGGAATATAACAACTCTTATCATTTACACATTGCTGTGACCTCAGGTATTGTAGTTGTCCTTTGGGATTAGAGATAAACATGAACTGACTCCAGAAGGAATAAAGAGGAAGGGTCCATGATTTTAACTGAGAGGTTGTGGCGGCAGTGCTCAGATTGGATCTTATATCCAAAAGAGGTTACGGGCTGTCAATATAAACTGTTGAGAGGGAATGTTCAGATCTTATGTCACTCCATTTGGTATCTTCCAGGGGATTAGGGGCAACGCAGATTTCTGTTATATGAGAATAAGACGGTGTTCAATGTCAGAAATTAAAGGGGATTTTGTTTTGGAGCATCATGCTAAAATAATGATATGTTTAACCTATCAGGATTGCATTTCTTTTTTTCAACCTATTTAATCAGGAATGCACGATCACACTTTATCAAACACGTTAATGTGCTCTTTAGTTCTGTATAAATCCACTCGTGTAATCAAACTCACTTATACTTAGATTTTCATAAATCAAACACTGCTATGATCAGATTAGTCCTTTACGATTCGATTAAAACCTGTGTGGTTGATGCCTGAAGGCCCAAAGTAAGCTCAATATTACTTCAGAGGAAACTGATATTATTGGATGTCTTTTCAAATATTATTTGAATTGATCCACTTTTTTTAAATTGCTTCTGACATCTTTTGTGCATTTACAGAGTAAATAACGATACTCAGATGTTTATCATGTGTTCTCTCTGTGAGATTAATCATCGTTTAAATAAACGTAAAAAAACTGCCGACATATGGACTTTTGTGAATTTTGTCAGTGTCCCACTCTTCGATGTGCCCCCTCTCTACGCCACTCGGCGGTGCTCACAGACTTCCCCTTTCTGGATATCAAAACATCTAATCCACAAGACTTCAGAAATTGCCAAATAAGCTAATAAAACGTCATCTCACCGGTGCAAAACCTGCCGTTTGCTTTCAACAATATCGAGACATTTGGAAGCGTCAGAGGAATCTCGCATCGGTGTGTTTCAGTGAATCCTGCGGGTCTGCATTTCAGCACCACGGAGCTGTCCGCCGTCCGGAGCGAAGTGAGGCTGCAGAGACTCTCACTGCCGCTGCTGACGAAGATAAGAACGGCTAAAATAGGATATAAAGTGTGATTCAAGCTCAAAATGAAACTACAGTCCCCCTTTCCATCACATTCCTTAAACAGCGAATGTTTATTTTTGACTGAAACATGTCGGGAGAACATTGTCATTGCAAATAATACGAATACGTGTCATTCACAAAGAAGTCATGAATTATTGAGTTCGTGCATGTGTAGTTATTTGCTCTGAGTAGGAGCACAAAGGACCGTATTCTCTATATTTCTCTATTTATAGACCCTCTCCCCTTGGTGGATTGTACCATTTTGTCTTCGGCATAGGAAAAGGGTGGGCAGAGAGCATTGGCTTTGACATATACCGAGTTTAAAGCAGCGCCCCTTTCTCCAAACCTCCCTACTGCTCTGGCAGACATTGAACCGGCCCTGTCCGTTTAAACCGAGAAGACACCCATACCGACTCCTCAATGCAAAAAAAATAAAAGGGTGCCAAGAAGCTGGGACGAGGGAACGTGGGTGTAAATAGACAGTGAACGCTCTTGGTCTCTCTCTCTCCCTCTCCCTCACCCTTCTCTTTTCTCTCTGTCTCTCTTTTATGAAATCAATGAACGAGTTATTGGGTAGGACATAAATATAAGGAATCAAAGCCTCCACCGGGACCAACAGCATTGCGCGCTTTTTGATATGCGTCTTCGCCAAATGCTACATGTGTTTTCATATCAGTGTAAATATTGGCTTTGAGCGGACGAGAGTGGAATCGGCTCTGGCACGGCTTGGTCTCGGAACCAAATTTTGACCAAGACTTTCACCAGCTTTTCATTTTTTTCAACGTTAAACGATTCTCCACCATCACCAACTGCTGCTGTTTGTACCCATCCCAACTCACTGGCCGGTCTGAAGATGGCAACTTTAACCAACGGGCAGGTGGACGGCTCGGTGCACGGTGTGGTCTCCAACACGAACGGGCTCGTGAACGGATTAAGCCACAGCCACAGTCCGGTGGGCTGCCCGGCCACCATCCCCATGAAGGACCACGATGCCATCAAACTCTTCATCGGTCAGATCCCCCGCAACCTGGACGAGAAGGACCTCCGGCCCCTCTTCGAGGAGTTCGGCAAGATCTACGAGCTCACTGTGTTGAAGGACCGCTTCACGGGCATGCACAAAGGTGGGTAAAACCCAACATCCCTGAGACACCTTGCCTTTTTGTCACTTTGCATTTTGTCACACAGTGGGGAGATGGTGGATCCTAAATCCAGCAAGGTTTTATGGGTACAATTGTTGGCACATGCTGCAATTATTCGTTAGGCTGTAGACTTTAAGCATGTTGTTTCGGGAAGTGTGTCCACCCAAAAAAGAGATTAAATCCTTTGTTAGACTTTTTATTGGTTCTCCAAATAAGTACGTGCATTATTTTCTGTTTTATGGGGCAAGAATATCCAAGCATGATAAGAGTGTCACGAATCGGGAGTCACGACGGCATGAATTTATGTAGGGTGATATTAGGAGGAGCAGTGTTCCTATGTGGGCAGTGTGCACGGGAGTATTCACACATCTAGTCCGGGCGGTTGTAAACGTGCTTCATTCACTATACGGTGCTAAATCCAGGCCATTAACCTCACGTTTTCACGTTGCAATAGCGGGGAGGCTGTGTTTGATTGCCCGCAGCGCCGTACACTCTTTTACCCGTATACTCTCTCTCGCTGTGCGTGTGTGTGTTTGCTTGCTTGCACGTGCGTGTGTTGGATGGCTGTCCGTGAAGGGGGCGTGCACGCGAGTACGCGCGTGCAAGTGCAAGAGTAGGCCTAAGTCTATAATTTTCTTTTAATATTATTTTATGTGATCTTTCCACCTTAAAAATGCTAACTAAACTACAGTAGAAATTTAAATTAAAAATTTGAAATTGATATGTTTTATTATTTTTTAAACGTTCTAACAACACAGAAATGTTTATTACTTAAGTATTTTTTATAACTGCTCTTAGTGTATATCCCTTTGGTTGCATTAATGAATTATCATAACTTTTAGCGTTGAAATGCTACATGGCCTTTCTGTGTAATATCAACGACCAGCTTTGTAATTTTGGTGCAACAGGAATGATCTTTATCCCTGTATTTTATTATCCCCTCTCAAGGGAAAGGTCATTCTCTGCAAATCACCATCTAAGGAGAGGTCACTAATTGATCTGCTATACCTGCAGGACGTCTCCCAGGGGAGCAAAGTGCATTAAGAATGAGATATCACTTTTTGGGAGCCCCCCCACCACCAGCCTCCTCCCCATGTAAACAATGTGTGACATGCACCATGTGTCAGGAAATGATTATGATATACAAATAATTCCAGAGGGCGGAGACTGTCTGCAGGCATGGAGGAAATCAAAGAGGTGGAGAAGGGAAGAGGGGGGGTTATCTTTTATTAATAGTCCAGCTGTAGTAGCGACTCCCTGTTGGACAGTTAATCAACAGTGGCCCCAGAACTATAGGCACGGCTGGCCAGCTGATTCTAAGAACTGTCTCCTCACCGCGATATACGGCCCTGGCTTCCCGGGCAGGGCCCCCGCTTTCATTAGCGAGCCCCCGCTGCACTCATATTTTAACTAGCTGGAGGCACTAGCTATTCCCTGGCTCACCAGCTCACTGGCTCACTGGCTCACTGCAACCTGCTCCAAGGCCGCCTTCCCCCCTAACAACTTCCTGAGGTTTCCATATAGAAGATTCACAAATTAGCAGTAAAAGACAGCACGTCCCACAAATAACAGGCAAAGTGTCTGACTGTGTGCGCTGCCGCCACACCGCTTTTATTGAAGACTACACGGCATAACATGAGTCAGGTATTGTGTGATATCACAGCAAGAGTTTGAGATGAGAGTAAATACACTTACGCTTAATTACACAACTATTTGAAAGGGAAATAATGCATGCAGCATTGGTTTTTCTGTCAAACCATTAAGTACTTTTCGTACATATGTATACTTTGTTTTGTGAATACATGTTTCGACCTTTCTATTCTTCCTTCTCCCCTTTCCCTGAGCTCCTTCACGCAGTTTGCATTTTTCTGAGTGCTGCTAGAAAGAGTCAAACCGAGGGCATGATGACCCTTTAAGGTGTGTAACGCTCCAGTGGACTGAAGTGTATAGAACTGCCCACCAGAAAACTCCTCTTCTTTCCCTCCATCTTTTCTCCTCTTCATTAACTCAGCTTGATCCCCTTCATTCTTTGCTTTGCCTCTTTCCCCTTTTGTCTTTATTTCATGTTCTAGGGCTGACATGTTGCCTGTTCACTGACATTGACATCATGTTGGATAATGGCTCTGGAAATACAAAGCCTTAGTTTGAAGTGGCGATTGTAGACGCCAGGGTTAGGGTACCTGTAACTGTCTTCGCTAACAATGTTATAATGCCTCACCCGGGGATACTGTTGCATTCATTTAACTTTACCCGAAGAGACATGGCACTTTAACAAAGAAATAAGCATGGTTTTCAGATAATACAGAGCTTTTTCTGCCACGGCAGGTAATAAAAGGTTCTGCTGTATATCAACAAGCGTAAAGAAACAGCCTTTGCTATAGTAATGCTACTTCTGAAGAAAGAGACCCCTTGCCATTGTCAGCCGTGCCTGTGATACTATTGCCATAACCCTCCCCATAATGACTCCATGTATCACTAGTAATCTAGTCTTTAGGATTCTGTCCCCTTCGAATGGTGGGGGGTGGGGGAGGAGGGGAGTACGGGACGGAGGTCTGCAGAGGCTGGGAGCGGGCGCAGGGACACCAGCGCAGGCCCACATTCTCCCAATGATTTTATTTCTCTCCCCTCTGCGACCGAGCCATGCTAATAGAGGCCATTTATAATGGTCACCGGCTGCTGCTGCTGCTGCTGCCAAGCACAACGGGGCTGAGAGGCACGGCTAGCACAAAGAGCCAGCCCTTTTTCCTCTTCTCTCTGGCAATGCAGCATGGGAGGTGGGGGTCTATTCAGGAGGAGAAGGTGTAGATATGATTGCTTGCACTATTCATCAGCCTGATTTCATGTAATAATCACTGGGGGCAATTGAGCTGCGATGATACGGGGGAAGACGTTTAATAACTGAAGGTTGTTATCTATTGTTTACCGCTGTCACATCTGCAGGCGATATTGGCCAAACCTTTGTTTTCTACATCTTCGTTTTTCCCGTGCAAATGCAACTGTCACCAAGTTTGTTTTGCTGCTATTGTGGTTTATCTGGTGTTAATTTAAGTCAAGTATATCATTGTCCTTGGCCACACTAAATGTGTTAGCCCTTGCCATAGGAGAAGACAGAGTGGTTGCAAAGAGTTGCTCAAAGTCAAAGCAGTTGTTGAAACTTCATTATGATTTAGGCCAAATGTCTATTTTGCCCTGGCAGGTTGTGCTAATTATTGTCACAGCTATTTCGTAGAGGTTATTTGCTTTCAATATAAAGTTCTGCTTGCTTAAAAAATAAAAATAACGGTGGAAATGAATGATTATATCTTTGATGTTTGGCTGTTTCCTAATAGATGCAGCTGAAACTATTGTACGATTATGTTTGATTTATCCGCCAATTGTTTTCTGGATTAATCTTTTAGTCTATTAAATGTCAGGTATAGTGAAATATGTTTATCCCGCCTTTCCCAAAGTCCAATGCGATGTCTTTTAAGGGTCTTGTTTTGTCAGTCAAGACGCCACATATGTTCAGTTTAAAAGGATGAAATCAGCATTTTCAGAGAATTTTGCATTGAAAATGAAGTATTGATGAAAAGATAATAACAAAAGTGGGAATTGTTTTCTAATTAGTCAACCTATAATTTTGCAGAAAATGGTGTTTGAAATCAAACAAGTGGAGATGCAGTGTAATGACCAATTGTAATCTTGTTTAAATGTACCCCTACTGCAGATGGCTGAGGCCACAGATGGGGGGATATAATCTATGCGGGTCATAAAGGGAGTTATGGATCCCCTCAGAACGTCTATGGTGTTGATATTTCAGCGAGTGAGTGTGTCAGGAGAGTAGCAGCTTCAAAGCAGATCGTGCTCGTCGTGTTTGGTGAGACCAGGAAGTCACGATGCCAAAACATGAAAGTCTCATGCTGTGTTTTATTGCAGCCAATTAGGTGTTACAGGTTGCCATTAGAGTAGCGTCTGCAAAAAAAAGGAGGATAAAACCTAATGTGGCTTAGAACAAAGAGAGAGAGAAGTGCGGTGTGGGTTTTCGTCCTGCAGGTCTGCGTTAATGCAGCATGCGTTCCGGCCGAAAGATTTCACTCTCGTTGCATCATCCTCTCTCTGTGGGATCCTTCGCTCTCCTCCTCTCGCATTTGGTTTGGGATGAGTGTGTCTGTGTGTTTGTGTTCTCTTCCTCTCCACCCTGTCCCAGAATCCACCACTCAGCTCTGCTCAGAATGCGCGCTCAGGTCCCACATTGTGCCCCGTTTCTATAAAGACGCCATCGATTTTGAGTGTTTTGTCTGAGAGAAGGGCAACATGTGTCATAGAGGAGGTCGCTTCCTCCTAAAGTGCCACCGGCTCCACACTGCACCCGCCACCCTGTCCTGGCACAGCCCAGAACTGCCAAGCAACAAGAGGGAAACAAGAGGCGGAGTCAGAGTGGCGAGTACAGTGAGCCTAATTTGTCAGGAGGGCCGTTGTCAAGGCAGCACTGCCTCTGTTGTCCATTATTATTGGAGGGGACTGTCAGATGGGGGCCGGCTGATGGCCGAGCAGGGAGCCAGTTAGTCACAGTGAGAGATGACCGCACCGAGCCAGAGGAGGGAGTGCTCATGGAGCTCCTGCAAGGATTAGCATGCTAACCGCAGGTTTGGAGTCATGAGGCCTGTCAGGGAGGTGCAGCCCTCTCGCTCCTCTGACCTCGGCAGGCCTCTCATTAAAACCACTGACCTTTACATACAGAGAGAGAGGTAATTTAAAGGGATGGCTGCACCTACATCCTCATCTCATTGCACTTCCTAAAGACAGAGTGAAGCATGCTGATATACATTCAACACAAAGTTAAATGCAAATGAGAAAATGGGAAAAACGTTTAGACAGTATATCTAGAACATATGCAGCAAGACACGGGTTTAAAATGTGCTTTACCAAAGGTTTCAATTACAATATCACCATTACATGGCTTTTTATAGAGACTGTGACTCACAAACGTTTTTTTGTTGAAT